ATTCTGTGATCATTTGCTACTAAGCAGTGCATTCGTGTTCTGTTTAAATATACTTTTCGTTACCAAGAAAATTAAAAAAATAAATGCATATTACATTAAAAATACTAAGTATTTTTTGTATCATGTGGACATTTTTTTTGATTGACTGTAATTTTTCAACATTTCGTAATGCCTATTTCAGAACCAACATAAGGCCTTTCACTCTTCCCCGACGCCTATTCAAGAGATTGTACGGTGTATTGTTTGTTTTGTGCGTGTGTTGTGGACAAAAAATGACCACGCCCATTTAGTGATTGCAATATGTACGTAATAGAAACTTGAGCTTTTGATCCCAATTTTTAAATTGATACATTGTAATATAAACCGCGGTTTATAATAGGACTTTAACGGTAACTACTTTTGGATTTATATACATATACATCCAGAATAATTACGAAACCTAATTTTCATAATAATTTAATACATGTGCGTCCTGAAACAATACACAGAATTAAACTCTATGCATAATAATTGCTTAATTTGATCATCTAATTATTATTAGGCCATTTCTGATATCTCAAAAAATTAGATTTAAATTGAAATTATGGTAGAAATTGTGGTAAAATGTATTTTCTGTTATGATAATGTGGATCAAATTGTTTTTATGTTATGCATCTCAAATAGTAGACAAATATTAGTTGCCAAGCTTCTTGTTTTTAGGCTAAGCTTTAAACTTTCAATTATTTTTAACAAAAATATAAATACAAAGACCGTAAACATGAAATAGTCGCTTACATTGTGAAAACCATCCAAAATAACTTTTCTTTCATGCCCAATTGACTCGTTGGTTGATATGGGCATAAACATTTTGCTTGCCTTTTCCTTGCACTTTGTCTACTCATTTGGTAATTCATGTAATTAAATCCTTCTCTAGGGCATTTCGTGGTAAACATGTATGTTTACTGGTTAGGTTTCCTAACCAAGGAAGACAAGTAGAAGATCTTACTTTGTGGTCCCATACCAATGAATCCTTGGCAGCTGTTAGAAGACATATCTTGCAAAGGTAATCATTCTATTCACGCTATAGACCACATTTCAATCACAAGTTAGTTGCAAAGTTTAAATCTCTCAGAAATTCAGTTGATGTTGATATTAAATAATAAGTTCAAGCAGCATAAATTTTATTAGTCCCCGTTCGGACGAAGTCCGAAAACGGGGACTTATAATTCGTCCGTCCGTCCATGCGACTGTGCGTCTATGCATCCGTCCGGAATCATATCTCAGAATCCCTTGGACCGATTCCGTTCATTCTTTGCATGTGCCTAGTACTTTATGTAGGACACATGCATTGGTTTAGCGATTTGATTCAAAATGGCCAACTGGCAGCCATCTTGTTTTTTGAAAATGTTGTATTTTGGACATGCTTTGTCAGTTGTCATTCAAACTTGGTACATAGATTATAAATGTTAGGATACATGTCCATGATGATTTATTTCACAATTGGATCAAAGATGGCCGACTGGCAGCCATCTTGTTTTTTGAAAATGTTGTATTTTGGACATGCTTTATCAGTTTTCATTCAAATTTAGTACATAGATCATACATGTTAGGATATATGTCCCTGACCGTCTGTGAGTTCCTGAGTCTGTCCGTCCGACCGTCCATGTGTCTGTCTGTCCGTGCGTCAGTCTGTCCAACGTCAGATTTCAGAATCCTGTGGACCGATTCCGTTCATTCTTTGCATGTGCCTAGTACCTTTTTTTAGCTCCGCTGTCGACTTTGTCGAGCGGAGCTTATCATATGAGTGATTTGTTCC